TCGTAAAAAAGCATGGATCCGATCGCCCTCATGCGAGCACCTTGAAATTATGAGCTGTTGGCAAGCACCAGCGCACACGCCCACTTCATTTGTTTTGTTTGCAAGGTGACTCTTTCGTTGAGCCTTTGTCTCCCGCCGCCATGTGCCATGAGTCATCGTGCCCGCTTCCGTTCAGCCTGTGCAGTTCGGTTCCACTGCACGACATGGGACAGTTTCACAGGAGATGCTGGATTGAACGCGAAATCCAAACAAATTGAGACCCTGGGCAGGACAGGACAGCCACACCTACCAACCAGCTCCTCGAAGTTTGTTTGTTCATGGTGATTGCAGAGGCCGTGCCGCGGTGTTTCCACCGAGCTTGAAACGAGATCAGCACGGCCACAAGTGCTGGAAGGGGGCGTGGGAGGCAAGGGCAGCGGAAGGAGCACCACGGAGACATCGAGCATGGGAGTAGGGGGAAGAGCAATGAAGAGGAGACGTATGAGCAAAGGGCGGGCAAGGGGGCAACATGCAGGGGTGCGAAGTTGGCCCACTTTCGGGTGATGTCAGAAGTGGCCCTGGCATGCCAACAAACACCCTGCTTGCCTCCAGGGTGCCCTGGGTTTCTTGGGTTTCAATGGTTTTGCCATTTCAAGCGTGACGTTCTCACACCAAACATCCATGGACGTTCTGGGTTCTCAGGGTTGGGTTTCGTGTGAAAGGTTTCTTGTGGTCGGGCCTCCACTGTACTTCTCTTTTGCCATTCTGCGGGTGCGCTCTTGGGCGCTTCTTTGGTCTTTCTCGGAGCATCCTAAGGCTTTTGTAAAGCCTTCCCAGAGCAATCAAACGCTGGAAAGCATGTACCGCCGACGCTACTGGACAACAACTGTCATGCTTCCAGCGTTTCCTGGTCTGGAGCCTCACCTGGGCCCTGAGGCTATCACTTGCGACCCTCTCGTGCCTACCTCAAGGCGTATTACACCGTCTGACCGGCCACGTGGGCCATCCTGGCGGCCTCAGTGTGCCCTGCTGGGGCCATCTAAGAAAATTGCCCGCTTTGGCAAGATATCAACATGAAGTGGCGTCCTTTTCACCCGATTGCCACATGGCTCGATTTTGCTCTGGCTGGTACTTCTGAGGAACGCTGCCCAAGGTAGCCACAGGGAGAAAATGGAATAGCCTGTAAAGGAATGTTCTTTCGCACATGCTGTCAGGATCGGCGGATGTCATTTTGCGATTACTTTTGTAGAATGGGTGTGCGCATGTGCGGCTGTACTGCCGCCCTGCCTGTAAGCATCAAGCAAGCGGTGGCATCGTGCGCTGCAACCTCATTTCTGTGATCTGGTCTCCTGTCATGCCCGTAGTTGCACGTGAACCTCCACTACTCCCCGACCTCTGTCGTCGATCCCCACCTGCACGCTTGCGCGCTGCCCGCCTGGGGGTGAGGGAGTAGGGAGGGAGGAGGGAAGGAAGAGAGGAGGGAGGAGGGAGGAGGGAGGGAGGGAGGGAGGGAGGGAGGGCAGGAAGCAGGAGGAAGGAGGGAGGAGGAGGGAGCAGGGAGCAGGGAGCAGGGAGGAGGGAGCAGGGAGGAGGGAGGAGGGAGGAGGAGCGAGGCGTGAGGAGGAAGAGGCGCGAGGAGCGAGGCGCGAGGCGTGAGGCGTCTGCTTCCCTCCGCCCGCCTATCGCCTCGCAGCTGCAGCAGGACCAGGCCCCACGGGCCCTCGCGTGGCCGGCCTCTCCTACACTCGGGGGCGGCCTCCTCCTCCTCCTCCTCCTCCTCCTCCTCCTCCTCCTCCTCCTCCTCTCCTCCTCCTCCTCCTCCTCCTCCTCTCCTCCTCCTCTCCTCCTCCTCCTCCCTCCCTCCCTCCCTCCCTCCCCCTCCCTCCCTCCCTCCGCCTCGGGCCGTCGGAAGGCAGAGAAAAAGCAAATGCCACAATCCTTCAAAAACTCATGGGAAATCAATGATTTGGACCTTTTCGGGCCTTCCTGGAGGCCCTCTTGGAAGCCTCTTGGGCCGTCTTGGGCCATCTTAGGGCCATCTTCGGCCGTCTTGGTGGGCTCCTGGCCAGTCTGACGCCGTCGGAAGCCGTTTGGGGGGCTCCTCTGGGCCGACTTGGGGCCCTCTTGAAATGCGCCAGGGCTGTCTTGGAGGCCAACTTGGGCGTCTTAAAAGCCTCCTGGGCCGTCTTGGGGGCCACTTGGGGCCGCCTTGGGGGCCTCTTGGGCCATTCCGGAGCCATCTTGGAGGCCTCTTGGGCGATCTTTGGGGGCTCTTGGGTCGTCTCGGGCCGTCGGAAGGCCGAAACGAAGCAAATGTCAAAATCCTTCAACAACCAAAGGTGAATCATTGTCGTTGGCCTTTTCTGGCCTTCCTGGAGGCCCTCTTGGAGGCCTCTTGGGCCGTCTTGGGCCGTTGGAGGGTTCCTGGGCCGTCTTGGAGGCATCTTGCGGGCCTTTTGGGTTGTCTTAGGCCATCTTGAGGGCATCTTGGGCCGTCTTGGAGGCCTCTTGGGGCCGCCTTGGGGGCCTCTTGGGCCGTTCTGGGGCCATCTTGGAGGCCTCTTGGGCGATCTTTGGGCGATCTTCGGGGGCTCTTGGGCCGTCTCGGGCCGTCGGAAGGCCGAAAAGATGCAAATGTCAAAATCCTTCAACACCTGAGGAACATTCGTGTTGTTTGGCCTTTTCTGGCCTTCCTGGAGGCCCTCTTGGAGGCCTCTTGGGCCGTCTTGGGCTGTCGGGGAGCTGGAAAGAAGAAACTGCCAAAATCTTTAAACAAAAAAAAGGGAAATCTATGCTTTTTGCCTTTTCGTGGCGTCTTGGAGGGTTCCTGGGCCGTCTTGGAAGCATCTTGCGGGCCTTTTGGGCCGTCTTAGGCCATTTTGAGGGCATCTTGAGCCGTCTTGGAGGCATCTTGGGACCGTTTGAGCCGTCTTGGAGGCCATCTTGGCCATCTTGCAGGCATCTTGAGGGCCATCTTGGGCCATCTTGGCCGTCTTGGAGGCCATCTTGCAGCCATCTGGAGCGAACCATCGACGGGGTAGTGATCTTCCGGGTGGTCGGCGGGACGGGCCGAAGCCCCAGGGGGAGTTCGTTTGGAAAAAGAACCAAAACCAAAACCGAGAGGATTTGGCACGCCAGGCACCCCTGCGATGAATCGACAGGGTGCGGCGGATCGAAGACGCCTACGGCGAATCACCGCCGCCCCCTGCCTTTTTGGAAGCGCCTATGTGGCCGAACGTTGAGGCCAGACCTGCCAAGCTATCGGACCATGTGTTCCCCGAATCGGTTTGAAAACCTTCGGGGAACACGTGGGCATCTTGAAGGTCCTCTTGGCCGTCTGGAGGCCATTTTGATCCTTTCGTGCCTTCTTGGAGGGCGTCTTGGAGGTCTCTTGGGCCGTCTTGGGGCCCTCTTGGGGCCGTCTTGGAGGCCTCTTGGGCCGCCTGGGGGGCCTCTTGGAGGCCTCGTGGGCGATCTTGGGGCAACCTTGGGGGCCTCTTGGGCCGTCTCGGGCCGTCGGAAAGCCGAAAAGGCGCAAATACCAAAATCCTTTAAAAACCCTACGGAAAATCAATGATTTTGGCCTCTTCGGGCCTTCCTGGAGGACCTCTCGGAGGCCTCTTGGGCCGTCTTGCAGGCCTCTTGGGAGCCTCTTGGGCCATTTTGGGCCATCTTGAGGCCATCTTAGGCCGTCTTGGATGCATCTTCTTTGGCCGTCTTGGAGGCATCGTGGGGCCGTCTTAGCCGTCTTGGAGGCCATCTTGGCCGTCTTGGAGGCGTCTTGGAGGCCATCTTGGGTCATCTTGGAGCCGTCTGGAACGGAACAAGCCTTTGCAACCACCTCTGGGCAATCTTTCGGCATCCTTTCAGGTGGCCGGCCGGACGAGCCGAAGCCCCAGGGGGATTTCTTTTGGAAAAAGAACCAAAAACCATAACCGGTTGGATTCGGCACGCCAGGCACCCCGGCGATGAATCGACAGGGGGCGGCGGATCGAAGACGCCTACGGCGAATCACCGCCGCCCCCTGCCTTTTTGTAAGCGCCTATGTGGCCGAACGTTGAGGCCAGACCTGCCAAGCTATCGGACCACGTGTTCCCCGACTCGGTTTGGAAAGCCTTCGGGGAACACGTGGGCATCTTGAAGGTCCTCTTGACCGTCTGGAAGCCATTTTGACTCTTTCGGGCCTTCTTGGAGGACGTCTTGGAGGTCTCTTGGGCAGTCTTGGAGGCCATCTTGAGCGTCTTGGAGACCTCTTGGGCCGTCTTGGGGGCCTCTTGGGGCCGTGTCTTGGGCCTCTTGGGCGATCTTTGGGGGCACTTGGGCCGTCTCGGGCCGTCGGAAGGCTGAAAAAAAGCAGATGCCACAATCCTCCAAAACCCATGAAAATCAATGATTTTGGCCTTTTCGGGCCTTCCTGGAGGCCCTCTTGGAGGCCTCTTGGGCCGTCTAACGCCGTCGGGAGCCGCCTTGGGGGCCTTTCTGGGCCAACTTGGGGCCCTCTTGGGGCGCTTCGGGGCCGTCTTGGATGCCATCTTGGGCGTCTTGGAGGCCATGGTGGGCGTCTTGGAGGCCTCTTGGGCCGTCTTCGGGCCCTCTTGGGGCCGTCGTGGGAGCCTCTTGGGCCGTCATGGGGCCATCTTGGAGGCCTCTTGGGCGATCTTGAGGCCTCTTGGGCTGTCTTGGGCCGTCGGAAAGCCGAAAAGGCGCAAATACCAAAATCTTTCAAACATCCTGAGGAAAAGCAATCATTTTGGCCTTTTCGGGCCTGGAGCACCTCTTGGAGGCCTCTTGGGCCGTCTTGGAGGCCTCTTGGGATCCTCTTGGGCAGTTTGGGGCCATCTTGAGGCCATCTTAGGCCGTCTTGGGTGCATCTTGGACCATCTTGGAGGCATCTTGGGGCCATCTCAGCCGTCTTGGAGGCCATCTTGGCCGTCTTGGAGGCCATCTTGGGCCATCTTGGAGCTGTCCGGAACGGAAAAACCCTTTGCAACCACCTCTGGGCAATCTTTCGGCATCCTTTC